ACTTTATTAGGACATATCTCTGTAAATCGTCCGTGTCATGTACACAACTTTCTTAGGACATGTCTCTGTAAATCTTCCGATCCGTGTACACAACTTTCTTGGTACATGACTCTTCAGACCTTCCGATCCATGTGTACTTTCTTGGTACATGTCTCTTTAAACTATTACTATTAGTTAATATAAGAAATTAATCAATACGTTATGACTCGGGATGCACTTTACTTACTACATGTATTGAATGAATAGAAAGTGTGTTTTTTTTAATTTTCAGTCGAGTAGTCTACATATCGTATATTTCTACTTAACTATTAAAACATTCCCGGTATGCAAAGACAACTTGGGATCACAAAAAGTATATCTATTAGCCTCCTGTGTTCATATTCACATATATATATGATAATGAGGATATATTGGTATTGCGCATTTACTTTGCATATATCCTGTTACACAAAAAATTTAAATGTCCGAATATCAGGTATACCTTACACACGTGACGTCAGTCAAGTCTATCCTATCAGATATCGTCCGTCCGTTGTCCAGAGCTACGTTATCGCAGCTGGAGCATGGGGAATACCAAGTACATACGTGACTTAAACCAGCTGAGCAAGGAAGTTTAAATGTGAAATGCAAATGGCGGCGCGTCAGGTATAGTTTGGTTTGTTTTGGAAGTTGAAATGGCAAGTAAAATATTGATTAGTCGTGCGCAGGTACACGTGCCCGTGACGTGTACTTTGTGTGATAGCATCGAAGCAGTAAACTGGTTTTGTAATGACTGCCAGGAGGTGATGTGTGACAAATGTAAGGACGTTCATCAACGTGGGAAGAAGACACGGAATGACGACGTTGTACCAATTCAAGAGGCAGACAAACAAGGCAAGGTACTACTACCAGAGGTATGTAAGACCCACCCTGGTAAAACATTAGAACTGTTCTGTAAAGAATGTCTCGTCGTAATGTGTTCGATGTGTTTTACCCAGAAACACAATCAACACACTGTTGGCCATATTGAAGAGGAAATGGAGTCACAGAAACGGTACGCGCAAGAACAACTGGAAACGTTAAATTCCAAGTTATACTACTTTAGTGATCATCGTTCAAAGCGCCATGAAGCAAGCAAAACATTCAGAGAAAGCCTTGATGTTGTTCGGAAAGATGTTCAAGCCCAGGGATTAATGTTGAAAGCCGAAATTGATTCTATCGTCACCTCAATACTGGTGGAGTTGTCATCTTTGGCTGCTGAGGAAGACGAATCCTGCAAACAGGATTGTCAGCCGGATGAGAAGCATGTCAAAGATATAACACAGCTGATTGGAGATATAGAGCAGAAAGCAGAACAGATGTCCAGTACAGAATTGTTTGAGCTGACGGGGAGACTGAGAAATACTGTACCGCTGTATGACGTCACTGGGAAGAGTGTACATGTACCACAACGCACACCAAGCTTGGTAACCGGTCAACTTGATACAAAGCAGTTGAAAGAAATGATTGGATATGTTTCCGCCAGGTATGAGAAGAAGGAAGTCGACAGTCGACATGTCCTGAATCTTTCTATGTTCCGAGTTCCTCATCAGAATACAATAATCTCAATTTGTCCTACTGAAGACTCTCAGGCATGGATGTCAGTACATGAATCTACAGAATTGATTAAAGTCAACAAGGAAGGTAAGGTCATAGAGTCTGTC